ATGATTCTATGATTCTATGATTGTAGGTGGAACCCCTTAAAACTACATATGGCTATCTTTTTGTCTTTTTACCAGGCCAGTTTTTATTTTGAAATAGCTGTGTCACTGAGACAGTTCTCACTACTGTGATAATTTTTCTGCTTAATAAGATTCAGTGTCATGATACATTCTCATACCCAAGTTGTCAACAAATGGCTATTTCAAAGTAATTTTTCTGTGGCTGCTGCTACTTCCATGGCGCATTGTGTTTAGTTATACAAGACTATAGTTAAAACTTTTAAGTTTACAATAAATATGCTAAGAAAACTAATTGTTTGATATAGTTGTTTCACTGCACATTCAATAGTAATGACTGGTGTCATGACTATATTGTTTGGCTAGTGTTCAGAATGCTTGTCTAGCATCTTTCATGCCTGTCAAGGCCAGTGGTTTTTTCCAAGAACAGTATCTTTTAAGAAACACTTCTGTGAGGGCCAGAATATCTTACATTTGGCTGACCAGCTATGTTGTGTCTCTCAGAAGAGTACCCAAGTGGCAACCAGTGACAACTTGGTTATTGCTTACTTTTCAGGGGTAATCATGGCTCTCAGTACTGCATTGTTTGGGCTTTACTTTAAAATGGTCCTTCCAAATCGAAACAACTCATCAAATCCTGATGTATGGTTCACTCTAAATTCAGCATCCCCAGGAACAGAAAGCAGCGTATCCTGGCTTGCAGTACTGAGCCTAGGGCTCTTTGTTGCTGGTAAGTGGAACAGGCTTCTCAGTAGCCATTACACAAAACTCAAACTTTCTGATGAATGTGACAATTTTGTTCCATTTTGTCACATTATTGATGAATGGAAATGAGTTATGTCTTTGACAGACCTTTTCAGTGTATAATGCAAAGTTGGGCTGAGTGTTCACAACCCTGGTGATAGAGCTAGCAGTTTAGTTAAGCCAATTCCCTGGAAAATGAATTTATACCGCCTTGTGCTAATAGTAGTAATTGCTCAGGTTAAACTGCTATACAGTTGTTAATGGCAAAAACAGTCTTTGTTAGTGTCTGAGTCACACTGAATTCTGTGATGGTACAAGGCAGCAGCAGTTAGAAACAAGGTTGGTTTTTAAGCTTACCACTGCAGAGACTTCATGGCAAGAAGTTCTGCTTGCTAAGAATATTCTTGTAATTAATTCGATGTAAAATGCACTAGCATTTATCATGCTGCCCTAAAATAACTTACTTCTTTCCTTCTGGTAGAGGTACTGTTTTACTGGAATCATCCAAGAATCTAGAGTGAAAACTGTATCCCCCTTACTTGACTAACTCGGGCATCATTCAGTCTTCCCTTCAATACGTACTTAACTTGCATTTATTCTCCTCTGTTTGTAATTGCAGGTTTTGCCCTTGGCTGGGGTCCTGTTCCATGGCTGGTGATATCTGAAATCTTCCCACTTAAAGCTAGAGGCATATTGAGTGGTGCTTGTGTGTTAACAAACTGGGTTATGGCCTTCTTGGTAACCAAAGAATTTCATGATTTTATAGTAAGCATCATAAATTACAATGTGAAGTTTCTTTTCATGGGGAAATTTATTAAAGGCTTCTGAGAGAGCCTTAAGCCACAGTCTTCTCTGGCAATACAGAACTGTAGTTGTACAGTAGTGAGCTACAATAATGCGTTTTTTGTTGTTTCCCTTCCCTCAGGGTTTCTTAACATCCTATGGCACGTTCTGGCTCTTCTCTGCCTTCTGCTGCCTCAATGTAACTTTTACAGCCTTTTATGTTCCTGAAACAAAAAGACAGACCCTGGAACAAATTGAGGCCTACTTCAGAAGATCTTAAGCCTAAGGCTTTTTATATTGATATGAAACCTCAATCATGAATTACAGTGCTGTGTTTGAAACTAACTGCATCATATGGCAGACATCTCAGTTACTAAACTTACTATCAAATTGTTCTAAATGAATTTTGTAAAATCTGAATTCTGTTTTTTAAAAAAATATCTGTGAGGATCTGCGTACACTTTGGCATACTCCCTGTAGTAAATCTCCCTTGTGTGGGTCTTGGACATACTCTTTTTCTTTGATTCCTGTGTTCTTTTCCCCTGGTGCAGACTGACTATAACGGCCAAGTAAGAATGTTAAATGTATTGGCCAGTATCTTTTTTTCTAAGATGTAAATTAAGCTCTTATTTTGTAAATAAATAAATAAAATTTCCTTGCTCCACGTTACAGTGAAGAAATTAATGATGTAGCCTGCCTAATGTCATTTTCAGACTGCAGTACTTTACCATTGTGTTGCTGCTACTATTTCTGGGATGCCTGACCATGGAGTAAGTCTTGGTCCCAACTGGCGATAAATGCTTGGCTTTTATGGGTGTTAGTGTTAAGCTGGCATTGTTTTTCCTATTGCTGTCAGGTTGGCTAGGAATGCATTTAAATCACAAAAAGGGTTGTAGCTCTTAGGAGAATGTATTTTAGAATTCAGGAAAGAGCATTACTTTTTCAAAAGGAGTTACAAGGTCTGAGAAACAGCGAGAATATACTCTTAGCCAAAAAAGGAGAAAAACTATCATCTTTTGTAGTGTTAATTTAAGGGGTAAAGATCTCTGAAAATCTAGAAGATGCCTGGAAACACAAACCAATGCTGGATTATAGTTCTTGTCAAAGATGGGTAATGCTTAAGACACAAACACCAGTCTCACAGGTATGATATAGCACATAAATGAATGACATCTCTGAAACAAAATTTCTAGAGAATGCAAATGAAAACAGTAATCCAGAGCTGTCTGCAATAGTATACTACCTCCTGTCTTTTTAATTTCTTGTCTGATGAACCAAATTTGGAAAAGCTGTTAGTTCTGCATGTGTGAAAGAAAGAAGTGAGGTCAAATTTATGGTTTACTACATATGAAGGAATAAATTATCTGTTAGTCCTTCACAAAGGTGATAAATGGCACTTAAACAGTTCCAGCGGTGATAGGGCTGTTTCTATTTGGATGTCACATCTAAAACACAAACCATACACACTATCCCATGACATTAAAACCAATGGTAGTACATCAGCATTTAAGACAAGTGGTAGATAAAGAGTTTTTGATCACAAACATAGCAACAGTCTTAACAATATGCAGTTACTAAATTACAAAGCAGTCTGCTAATATTCAAAAACTTAGTTAAAACTGACATTCTAGGTTGATAACACTTTTTGCATAAACCTTCAGAGACATAGCATTTTCCCTTCAACGAGATAAATACCTAATAGAGCTATAAATAAATATGCAGAAAATAATCTCAAATTTTCTGTTCAAATCATGTGCTAATACAATGATTTCCAGCAGCAAACAGGAGTCAAGTCAGCCATAAAGTGAAGCAGCTAGGCAGTATACAGGCTGGTGAAGTTGCTGTGCTCAACTAGTAAGAGTAAAAAATACTTTGTAACGTGCATGCAAGTACAGATGTTTGCTGCATACTGTCATACAAACTTTCCCATATTGTTAACATTAGGTTCTCAAGATATAATTTATTCCTCCACAAAATCAGGCTAAGCCTATCTGAGAAAATACTGCTTTAACAGAAGTAGCACACACTGTGCATATGAACCATGACATCAAATTGTTAATAATGACAATAGTATGGTACACTTTTTCATACACAGAAGGCAACAAAAATGATTCTGAAATACCTTATCACTTGCAGATGGGATCCCCCCCATAAGATCACATCAGTTTTCTATATATGTTTAGGACTTCTAATCCCTTAAAACTTGTGGTAGAAATTACAAATACATACACATATGTATGTATATACATACATATGTGTATATATATTAAAAAGTCAATCCAAACCCAGAGAATTATATATCTCAAATGCAGACTAAGCCAACAGCTGTGGGAAAGCTGCTGCATCTGCAAGCAGAAGTTACAGATCCACACCTTTAGGAAAATGTGCATGAGCTTGAATCCGTGGCTTGGTCAAATACACATAGAACAGCAGAAAGTAAATGTCAGGGGAAGCAACCTTGACTATATGTAACTGGTTATGTAATAGTTTACACTTCATGTGGGTGCTACCTGTCCCCTGCCCTATTAAGAACTGTTTAAATATTTTAGTTGACTGGCCTAGTACTAAAAAAAAAAAAAAAAAAAAATTTTTTCCTTTGAATCTACCAATCAAATGCTTGCACATGTATAGAAATAGTCACATGAAGGCAGACAGCAAACCTGCTATTCATTCTGGGTGCCACTTGCATCCTGTATGTTATGCATCACAAAAAACCCAAACACCAAACAAAACCACTCCACAAGTCCCCCAAACCCCAAGAAACCAAACCAAGCAAAACAAACAAAAAAACCCATCCCAGCCCCAAAGCAGGAAAAGGACTGTAATCAGAACAGGCCCTACTTGTTCCTTGCAATCCAGGAAACTGAAGGTATCCATACATCCATTCAACCTAGAGTCCATATCTCTGCTACCATGAATAGCACCTAGCCCTTTCAAATTGCATGTGGGTCTTTATCTCTCCTTAGAAGGAAGTGTTTTGTTACTTTCAAACATTCATAAAATTTATGTGTACTGCATTGCCACTAGAAGAAAGAGCTGGACAAAAATGATTGTTAGTCTGCAACAGTTCCTAAAGCCGAAACTGTATAGATCTTGGGAAGGGCTCATCAAAGCCTCAGCCTTAAGAGCTGCATACTCTCTGTGTGTGAAAAAATTAACTTGGCTCGTGTGTCTTGGGGTTCTTGAGTCCCAGTCACACTTCAAAGCTGTGGTGATGGTTTATATGCATACCGTAATGCAAATGCAGGACAAAGATTATGAGTAGCTCAAAATGTTGCATCCCAGTTTTGAACAGACTCAAAATGCAACATGGCACTGAACAACCTGACACTGATGCTGTTTTGAATGGAGGTGCATAGGCGTGGGTACTGGACTAGATGATCTGCAGTGGTCCCTTCCAACCTCAACTATTGTTGTGATTCCATGCATCATTACCCATGCTGGTGAGAAGGCACAAGTACATTCTAAATTAACTGCCTGTAACGCTTGCACCAAAGTAAATGACATTCCTATAATTTGGTCAGACTAAGGCACAGTGCTGAAGTGATGACACCACCATTAGCCAGAAGGGGTTAAGAGCCCTACCTCCTCCAACAAATCCAGCATGTTGGGATAGAAAACATTTCTTGCAGAAACTTATCTGTTATAAGAGTCCAGAATGGAACCTTCAGTTGAGGTTAGCTTGATAGCAAGTGTTCAACTTCGTAACAATTATTCTTCATGGAAAGAATTTCTTCCATCCATCTATAGCAAGATTTTTTAGTATTCCTCTCTATTCAAACAACACCCATCTTGCATAGCTGTAGATTCAAAGAATATCTTTTCTCTCATCTATGAGAGAACATCTCTGGTGGTGTCAGCCAACACCAAGAATGCAGGCTAAAGGCAGCTTTAACGTAAGATGTGAAAGTAGGAAGGGTTGTGCTTAGGGTGGTCATGGCTACAATATGGGCCCAAGACTACTTTTCTAAGTTTTAATGAGTAGATGCATGCACGTGCTGGAAAAGCAGAAAGGAAATAACACGGCTTTAAGGCTGGAGTGAACGACAATATAGCTGTCCATCCCAGTAGCCTTCCAACAAGCCTTGTCATCTGACACTAGTCTGAAGTAGGAGAGGTTGCACAGATGTGTAAAAACCTTGCCCTTTATAAATGATGCACAAGAGCTTATATATCAATACCAGTTGGCTTTTGTTTTGATTTTAATTAGCAGTCTGAATGGTATGGATCCAAGACGGTATTTTGAGAGAAACGATGGCTAGAAGCTAGTTCAAAGGATGCCAACTCATCACACTAAGAGGCATGTAACTCATGGCAGTCTGATGACACTGTTAAGAGCCCACAGAAACCACATCCTTGTACAGTGGATATTTGTCCAGTTGCATCAGCAATTTCACAGTATTGTGCGATATTTTGTCTTTTGATACAATAAATGTGATAAAGACCTTCACAGAATTTGGTTCTTGTGGCTTGTGTCAAACAAAACTAGAATATCATTACCATGTTCTCTGCCTTCTACCTATACTCTGGGCTGCTCTCGTACAACAAGTAGGTAGTAAACTACATATACATGACCCTAAAGTCTCAGCTACCATCTCTAGGTGTCATATAAATCAAACTGATGTTGCCTGGTCCCTCCCAACTTCTTTTGCTAGGTCTAATATTATCCCTACATTCCTGCAAGACACACTGATTAATTACAGAAGCAAAAACTCAAGAAGTGGCAGCCTTGTTAAGGCACTTACTGCATACATTAGGAATGAAGACAGGTAATTTTTTTCCAGGGTTCAGATCGTTCCTGTCCTATATGAGTAATAGTCTGTTAGATGTGGTAGTTCCCATTGTGACCTGCATAACAGCTTGCACTGACCCATTAAGTCAAGCTATAGCATCAAATTCAGGTGGGAGGTGGGGAGGGAGGCAGTTGCTGGGCTTCCCTCTTCAAACTATACCAACATCCTGTTCCAGATAAATACCATGAAGCATGTTTTTGTCTAGCTTAAGCAATCAAATTTAATCTGTACTCCTTACAGTCCTTTTGCTGTTTGTTAGTATTTGCTAGACGTCATCAATGCTGTGATTACAGGCAGACCTTCAAAGGTTCTCTCACACGCACACTCACACACTCTCTTACTTTACAGCAATACTCTATAGCCACTGCTGTGGTTATGGTTAAAGAAAGTAACTCTTGCTTTATGGCCCCTCTTTCTACAATCATGTCTCAGTTATGACGCAAATGTCACATCTATATGCATCCTGACTACCATCATAGCCTGTGGTCAAGCTTTCTGTCAAGCTTTCTTTATTCTTCTTGATCTCTTGTCTTTCAGGATACCTAAATACGTGTTTGTTCAGGTTCTTCAAAACAAGTTTTAAAATCTCCATATATTGCTTCAACTGCTATCGAACTATGGTTTAGTCATGTTAAATCATGCTAGAATAGCACAGGTGAACATCTGCAATATATTTAAAATCTGATATCCTAGCAGCGCAAAGCAAAGTTTCCACTTAAAACAGTATTTTAACTAAAGCCCCAGTTTTGCAACACACTGGTACAGTCTTCAAAAACACCCACATAACAGAAATGAAATACTACACCAAGAAATCTGTTTATGGAAAGAGGTGGTGCTTTTACTTTCTAAAAATATCTAAGTGCAAGCAGTCCTTCCTAAAGTGGATTTGATAAGTCCACAGAAGTGTTTACAACTTCCAGGAGAATAAGCACCACGTGATACCTTCAGATTGATTTTTTTTTTTTAAACCTTAACTGCCCAGATAAATAAGACAGGGTAAATTAACACAATCTCTGGACATAACATTCTCAAAAAGAATTACAAGCTCTTGCAAACACTTTGAGATGGCGCTTCCTTTTAGACGCTTATTAAGGTTCACCCCACACATCTATGGGTGCAAAAACACTAAAATAATAGTAGCCACTGGTTAATACTGCTTCTGTTCCTAGATTAATTACTGTTGAAAATATTGCTTCTTTCCTTGATCAGCCACTCCAGTTGAGTAAGAAATTATGCTTTCAGATAAGGCCCTGCATACTTTCTTAGGTGGAGCAATTAAGTCATTATGTACAATAAACTGGGCAAAAGATACTTTGCAAAAAGAGTTCTACATTCAGATAGACCGAAGCAAAAGGCACACATCTCCAGACGGTCATGCTTGGACAGAAAGTGAAATCATGACACGTGAATGGTATTACAAAATAAAATCAAGGATACAGAAGGATTTCTACATACAGAACAAGAAAGACTTGCTAATAAGGCTAAATCTTCATATATAAAAAGCCTGGAAGCATCACGTTTTCATGGAAAAAAAAAAAAAAAAACAACCAACCAAAAGAAAACCAAACAAAACAAAACCCTTTCAAAATACTGTTTAAAATTGATTTTTGGCACAGAGGAAAGGGTTAAAAAATAATTAAGCTTTAAACATGAAACCCTGTCTTTTAACATAACAAAAGATCCAAGATGACTACTTAATGATAGAAAACTAGCTTCTTAGCAGTGAATTTTCAGTCTGGATCCAGTTAGAAAAACATGATTATCTGGAATAACAACTGATATTGTTGGTGCAAGAACAGACAACAGCTAATGCTGATGCCTGCATAGGAATCTTTGTGTAGTCAGAAAGAAAATCAGGGGTTGGCTCTTCTGCCTGTAATGGGAAAATCTGTAGGTGCACTACAATAACAGTTTTCTAGTAGATGGAGAAATACAGTTGGTTTTTTGGTTGGAGTTTTGTTTTTTGTGGTTTGCTTGTTTGTTGGGGTTTTTTTTTTTCCCTTCCAATTCTTAGGGAATATTTTGAAAATTTGTGTTTTCTATAAAAAGTCTCTCTGCTCAAGGATTCTTAATGCCAAAACAATTTTCAAGTTCCTCTAAAAAAATGTACATGGACAGGCCAGAACAAAGAAAGCAGCATCTTCATATTACCTGATCTTCATAGATCTTTATAGAATCCTTGATTCTTCAGTGAGCATACCACAGCTGCATCATTTCAAGGACAGACTGCACTGTTTGGAAAGACCTTGCCTGCAAGCCTTTTTTTTGTTGTTGTTTTGTTTGGTTTGTTTTTTTAAAAGACTGAAAAACCAAAAAGAGTGATTTATGTTATAAAATTCCTCTTCCCACATGACATACACTGTTATAAAACAACTCATGATAGTAATAAAAGTGATTAACTTAGCTGAATGTCATTCAGGTACTTCAAATTATAAGAAGCTCAGAACAAGTAATACTTTTTATTTACTTCAGTTTCAGCCTAAATCTCTCATTGATTACCTACTGCTAGAATGCCACAAAAAGTAATGGTTCATTAACTGAGAAAAAACCCCATACCTATGTCAAAGATATAAGCATCACCAAATCAGCTGAGCTAGCCAGAACAACATGGGTTCTATAAGGATTAATCACCAGTACTTCCAGCCACATTTTACCACTAGAAGCAGTGTTTGTGACATTCCCATAGATCTCACAGAGTTGTAAGAAAATGTAAAGTAAGGAAGAAAGGTTTTAAGACTGTCTTCACTTCAAGTCAATGATGTCTTCATCATATAAAGAAATCAGCTGAAATGGACAGCTAGATGGTGAGCTCTCCTCCCTGTTTGCTAAAGTATCGGGATCTGAACTAGTGGAAAGGTGACGTCCTTCAGAATAGCTTTCAAAAGAGCTTGAGATTATCCTGTAAAGAGGAAGACAAAAGTTACTAAAAAAAATACACAGATCAGGGCAAGTAGGATCAATGGCTATTTCTAGATTCAATCAAGTTATCCTAAAGACAGAGACAGACCATTAAAACTGAGTTTCTCTCTGTTTTACTCTACTGAAAATCATCAAAAGGCAATGTTAATGAAGCCCCCCATCCAAATAATTTCCGAATAGTGAAATAAATAAAATATGGTTTTACATTGCAGCAGATTTTTTGTTTATTTTGTTAATCTCTGTCTAGCGTATCTTGGCTGAATTCTGCCACAGCTCTACACAAACATAGTGAAAACAAGAGAATGGCAGTGGGGTCAGGTAAGCAGAGCCAAACAGACAAATGCTATGGTGTTTCTTCACAAAATTTATTCTGGAAATAGCAACACAAGAGCATACGAAGAAAACAGCAAGCAAGCCTGCACAGTGCAGATCTAGTAGTCCGAATCCTAATGACAGGCTCAACTGCAAAATCCCATTTAGTCTTGCTTTGCTCATTAACATGTCTTTAGCAGGAAGTATAATCATTTCAGGACTTAAGAGTATTCAGATACTCTAACAAATACATTAGCATGAAATTCACATTGGTATACAAAGTAAGCCCCATGCCAACTTGAAAAACAATCAATTCTGAAAATACTTACAGTCTAACGTAGGTTGTTTTCTAAAGCCAGTATATTTACCTGTCACTACTAGTTGATCTTACTGCTCCCTGCTTGGGGTCTGACTGTCTTCGAGGAACTTTTTTTTGCTTCTGTGCACTTTCTGTCTTGGGTATAGGCTCATCCAAGAGGCCTCAATAAAGGAATATAAGACTTAATACTCTCAACAGAAAATAAAGCATTCGTGAAAGTGTTAAGGTATCTGTCACTGGTTCCCATTATTAACCAAGTATCTTCTATCTGGCTTAGAATATGGTCACCTTATATGTGATCAGATGCTGGCTAAACTATTTGCAAATAATGTTTTCTCACAGTTTCATTTGTTTGTTTATACTACTTACTTATGAATACTGGTTGCATGTTACAAATCTGACTGTGGTGGTCCAAAAGATTAGAAATTATATATATGGCAATTGATAAGTACACCGAAGAATGAGGAGAGTTTACCCAGCAATTCTTTACGTGTTCTGCTTGCAATTTCTTTAATTTCCATACGAGATAAGGATAGCGAGTGAGTAACTGGAAGAGAGGCAATGCCACTGGATGTTGTAGTAGTGATGACCTTGGGAGCCAAAGGTGACTTCAGAGGTCGTTCAATGCTTCGCCCAACCAGATTACTGAGAGGAATTTTGTACAGGTTTTTGCATGGAACTTCACCTGAAACACAGAAGGAAAAAAGAATGTTACACTGTCACAATAGAATCACTTCTTAATACTTCCAAACGAAAAGTTATACAAAAAAGTACACAGAAAAGTTACACTCGTTTGTGTATACCCAAATAACAAAGATCTTTCTTGCCTAGAGATCTTTCAATATAAATAGGCTAGGAGGAGGAAGAAATACAACCACATCGTGCAGACTTGCAATTTGACTTAGAGAGAAAAAGAAGACTGACTCTTGGTGATGTGATGAATCAGCAGTGGAACCAGGAAGTAAATTTACATGTCCTGAGGCTGATATTCTGACTATTACACCATGACTCTGCACTCTGTACAATATTCCCCATGTATTTTAACATGTTGCAAGTATATTGGAGCCTGGATCCCAAGTGGTTTAAATTATGGCTCCTCTTCTTAGGTCACATAAAATACCACGTTTTCCTAATTCCTGGGGGGGCGGGGGGAACTTACCATCAAATAGCACTGCCTTTTAAAAACTGAAATTGTGATTCCTTTCTCCTTTCCCCTTCTGCCAACAGTACAGCAGCAGATTTAAGTGAGGAAGATATACATACATTTTGCATTATCTAGTTAATGTTTCTTTGTTTCTCCAATATTGTTCTCCTATAGACCGATTGTTCACAGATCATGTTACACTAAATTGACTCTGCAAACTCTTTTGAGGCTAGAACTTCTTCTTTCTTTTGGTTTACAAAAGAGCTTTAACCATCCAGTGGTAGTTTAGCTTTTCTTAAATGAAAGGAATGCTGTATGTGAAATCTCAAGTTTTCCCACCATTTTACACCTCTTTTTGCATTATTAATCTTGGCCATATTGCCAAAGGTTCATCAAGCTACTGAAGCTTAATTCTTCCCCTCCTACAGAAATGATTTCTTCAAAACAGTGCTACCATGCATTCAGAAGAGATACTATGGGGCAAAAGCTCAGCCAGGTGCTTCGTATCTGTGGATAAACAGAAAATCTTTATCTTCCAGACTCTAACCTAGGAACTCAAAATCTTTAACCTGATCAATTTCATCTTACTAAAAGATCAGCTCCACTGAGGTGTGATAGCTGTTGAGATCATTATTCAAGCTGCCTGGAAACCATGTTACCTTCTGGAGAAGAAAGAGGACATTCTGGCATTTCATAAGCTGTCGGTGTTTGAGGAGAACTCCTTGAACTCATTTCCTTAGAGCTGCTGTCAGATGATCCACCTACTGCAGCAGTAGCTTTAAAATAAATATCTGACTGAAATGACAAATAACTCATCATTAGTACAGTGAGACTTTCTTAATAAGAGCCCAAATGTTTGTCCACTATGTTCTATTGCCACTATTGCTGTATTGCCACTAAATCAACTAGGGTTGGTCATGGAAAGGTTATCCCACTGTAAGCAGAGGGAACATCTGTGATGTTGAGGATAGCATTGCCCCATAAACAGTCAAGTATCTCAGATCTGCATTACTGTGCACAATAAAGGACAGTGAGATCAGTTCTGATTCTCTTTGTACTTGATATCAACTAAGAGCACACAGATGAACAGTTACCACAGATCAAGTAGCACATGTTTCAGTTTTGGTTTGTTTGGGTTTTGGCTGCAGCAACTTTTCATGTGAATTAGATCCCAACGTATTACAGAAATAGTCAAACATGATTTTCCTGTGTCTTACCCTTGATGCTACAAGTTGAAGCTCAGGCACAACTGCTGTGTGGACTAAGTTCCCATTCACCACTAATCGGATCTCAATGGAATCAGTAGTGAAGGCAAGGATATAAGGGAAAGCACACACTGCAATGAAACAAAAATTATTTTGCAAGGAAAAATGGTTAATGTAAATGTTTCTTGGATACTCCATGAAAACTGTTCTTGAGTATCTGACCTCTTCTGGCATCTCCCTTTGCTATGAAAAGGGTTGTCTAACATAGTGATGGATATTGAGCTACATCAAGCCTGAAGAAAACGTCACTCTCCATGCCTGGCAGAACGTAGACTGAATGGAAAATGAAAAACAGAAAAAAGAGGAAAAAAAGTTCAGCAAAGGAAGAACTTGGCACCAAGGCTCCACTTTTTAAAATTATCATATGCAGAAACTTAGCTAAAGTGGCATCATGAATGTAACATGCTTATTCGTAGCACACATACTGTTATTCCACTAACAGCCAAGTGCAAGCCTAAATAGTAAAACAGCCATCTAGTAAAAAGAGATATTTTCTTACCAACTGCATAAGGAACTTGATTCCAGCTGAAGTGGAAGTCATAAGCTGATGGTTGGATCAGTGGGGAACCTCCATTGAAAGGATATACTTTTCTGTATTGGCAAACATCTGTAAGAAAAAAGAAGCATCCACCACCTTACACTGCAAGTGACAAACACCAACTTTATAGGCAGATTTTGCAGAAGTGTGGGCATTATATACATAATCGAACATTTATGTAAAGTCCCTCTATATCTAAACAGATAAGGGAAATGTGCTTCCTCTGTGAACACTGCATCTGAAAGATCAAAATAAAAGACCTACATTTTAATAAGTTGTCGTATTTCACAAAGTAAGTATTACTCCGTTTCAACAGTTATCAGTTCCTTACCCTGTCTATGGATAGAGGAATAGGTAAGAAAAATTCAGTGTCAGCAGAACTGTACCTCTCTGCCCTTCAAGCAGCCATATGCTAGCAAGTTTACATTCTTTGAAGACTGTTAATACATATGGGATATTACAGATACCAAGATTTTATTAATCCTGTAACTTGTGAACCTACTTCTTAGCTGCTGTAAGTCCACTGATTCTGAAATTAATGAGTCAGACATGAATGTTGGCTTATACAGTTTCTTACTGGTAATGCAATTTGAATTTTTATTTTGATGGATCTAGATAATGGGGAACTTAACCTTCCACAACCATCAGATTTTTCTTCAAAAACATGCACTAGTGCTCATCAAACACCTATTAAAGTTCAGGACTTGAGAAGTCATATCAGCAAACAATAAGAAAGCTTAAAGATGAGATGCAATTGCAATCATCTTTTTTTCTCGAAAAGCTTGTATGAGTGCACTGGGGCTCTAGATAAACATCTATGACCCTCTCAAATACGTGCTGCTTCCAGCTCTTTTCTATTTTTTAAGCAAAATTCTATTTTTTTCCCGTAATTGATGTCTTTAGACTGAATCAGAAATGTATTACAGGTCTTTTTCTAAATGCAAGCTTATGACACTGCCAAATCCTGTGTTTTCATATTTGTTCTATAATGACAGACACTTTCAGAATTATAAAACTCTCTAAAGAAAAATGTAGATTTCCCTGTGACACCATCCTAGAAATAGGAATTCAAGTTGCTGCAAGCCTTTGCAACACCTTTATTGTAACTTTAAGATCAGCTAAGTTTGCTAGCTTTGGCTCAGTGATGGGTCTACTAGAGGGGAACTGATACCATGCAGAAGTACAGGTGGGAATTCACTATGCTCTGTCAGACAGCTTTTTAGTTCTGAAGCAGTGCTAAGCGAACCAGAACCAGGTAGGACCTGGCAAGCTATCAGAACCAGTAAGGCCTCACAGAGCATAGAAAGACACAGTTTAGAGACACTTAAAACTTGCTCTGTCGTACCGATCTGATAGCCAGTGCTGGAACATACGTGTATTTATCCTGTCTCCATCAATGTTCACTTTGGAGAGACAAACAGGACATGGCTTCTGCAACACAGAAAGCCATGCCTTGTCCTTCAGCATTGCCTCATGAAGCCTGCTGCATGCTAAGAGCTTCTATTTTCATGAGGATCAGAAGAAAAAGTACCTGTGTACTGCAGAGAAGAGCATATGTGTGTTTTATAAAAGGCCGTTTTATAAAAGGAGATTGAGAGAATTACAATGAAATAATGCAACAGTGCCAAGAAGTAGGTGGAAGAAAAAGCACAAAGACAGAATGGGACAGCACACAGAGGAAAAAGGGGTCGAATGCTAAATTGCCTTGAAAACACCCAGTAAGTATGTAACTACCTAAAGAATGAGCTAGATCTGAAGAAACAGGACTTTTGTGAGTAAGGTGGTTAACATCTATAAAAATATAGATACATATTTATATACCTGAAATTAAAACCTAACAGCTAGTATGTCTAAATTCAACATACCCTGCAATAAAGTAGTACTTAAATTGCTAGTCTCTCTAATACGCATTTAAATTCAAAAGAACATATATTGAAAAGCTTTCCATGAAACACTGAAATTTATTTTAAAATACAGACCTAGACTCCAATGAAAAAAAGAATTACATATGCAGATTGAGGTGTTACCGTTTTCGGTCTTCCCTAAATACTTACAGTTATAACACAACAGTAGGCCAGCTTCACCATCTTCATATACATCAATAGCTGTAACAAAATTAACCTGCAATGATAATGGAAAAGGGTAATGAACAGGCAGAGGATACTGAGGTTATTACAACCAGGTTTTGACTAACAAGCAATACAATCAGTTGGGGGAGTGCACAACTACAGATAAAAGAGAAAAGAAAAAAAAAAAAAAAAAGAAGTAATTTTTCAAATGCAGCCTCTTTTGTGATTAATTTTCAGGATGTTCTCAGGATGGAAATCAATTTCTTTTGTATTCAGTTCTGTACAGTACTGAATATTCAATACCACACCCACAGCATAAAGCAATAAAAACTTACATAATGTATTTGGCCAATACAAATTTTGGGAAATGAGGTGATTTCAGGCCAGCTGTGAATCAACATGATATGCTAAAAATAACAATTCTTTTCAAAAAGTGAAATCCAAAAAGCTCCATTGCACATCGTGACTAGCAGAAAGATCAGATGCACCAATTACTGGTTCAAAACTATTAACACTTACAGAGGTCAATAGGGATCTACTTAAGGATTACTGAATAGGCTGAATTTAGAAACTGAGAACCAACGCTGGATAAACCACAGTATTTTTTATGTAGCATAGGCTACATAAATTCTCATATTTCGATTCTGTATTTGTCTTTCACAGTTGGATTAAAAAACCCAGAACAGCCATAAAAAGTAGGGTCTCTGTTCAGGAAATGAGACCTTACTAGTGAAATACATAAGGTAAGATTAGACAAATACTTCCCAGACCACAACATTTACTATTTGGACAGGGAGAGGGGTTGGAGACCAATTCCATGAACAGCTGTTCTTTGACATTCCTTTGTACAATAAGCTAGATATTCACCTCTTGACTTAAGATTACAGTATAGGTCAAGAACTGTTAAACAGACTTGGAAGTATATATATCTATACCAAACACATTTTGACCCATCCTTTGTAGTGACTGAAAGCCACTTCTGCTCTGTTACCCGTGGAAGTAATTTGGTGTCCCATTTCAACATCATAAAAATCACTGGCTCAGCTCATATTAATTGTCTGCTTTGTTTGTGTTCTCAAAGGAAATAAGAATTCCTGGGGAGAAGAGGAACAGGGGGGTGGGGGTGGTGTACTTCTCCATCCCCATTCTTTACTTGTAGTTCCTCCTCATCCAGATTAAACCAGATTTCCAGTGCTGTAGAGAAGCTTACACTGTATCGCCCATGCTAGGAGTACCAAACCTCTTCATCATCAGATCGGAATAGAAATACAGACGATTTAAAAAGAAAATAACCTATCAACAAGAACCATCAAATTAAAAGAGTAGTCCCTTATCTCATTATGAGGAAGGGAGTCAGTTAAAAACAACAAAAAAAGATTAACTGTGCAAAATCTTCCTTTTTTTTTTGTCTAAAGCTGTACATCCACATCCATATTTAAAAACAATTACAATTATCTGATTTTCAGAGATGTTGAAGATCATTATCTTCCCAGCAGCAGGAAATACTGGAGCTCTTTTCTGAAAATCGTGACATGTGCTTAAATCCCAGCCCTATGTCCTAGTTAGAAAGATTCAGTTAATTTATTAGTTTACTGGGCAGCAGTTTCTTGAATAGAACTAAAAGCTACATGTAAATATTTTAGACTTAGTACATGCAAACAAGCAAATCTGAATGAGATACTGGTGGCCAACAACTGAATTTATTTTGCTGCAATTTCTTAAACAATAAAACATTGACACCACAAAGAAAAAGCAAAAAGCAAACTATTGACTAAGAAAGGAGAAAAATTAATTTATGCAGACAGCAATATTCCAGAGCCTGAAACACAGGCTCTTTCCTAATGTGTCATACCTTATAACTACCTCTCTTGGGAGTGATTATTATCACATAACCCAAAAGGAACAAATATCTCAGAGTGCCCTAAAGCAGAGGTTATAGAAGTGAAAAGTAAGAGACGTGAGGGTCTCCATAAATTACACTCCCAGGAGGTCAGCACAGGATGCACTAAGTCTGCAAGAAATTATGTTCAGTGTGGTTCTGCAAGAAAATAATTTCAACGATGAAAACTTACCTTGTTTGTTTCAACATGATGTAATCTATAGGACTCCCCAGTACTCTCATTAACTAAATCAAACTGATGCCGATACGCTACACAGATCATATTGTCACTGTCTCCAGTAGGTCCATCCACCAGCGTCATAACCACTGGAGGGTCAGAAAGGCATATTTCCTATAATGCAAATAATAGAATTATTCTCTTTTTCAAGCTCCTACTGTGGGTGCCGTAGGTACTCCATGAATTTAAAGGGATGTGCTCTAAGCACAGAAACATGATAAAGAACAAGCAGAAACTTAATTAAAAAAACTGAAAGATTTCTTTGGCAGATATATGATGGAACTCCATCATATGGCTTCTCACTTTTATTTGTCTGGAGGTTCAGGAAGATAAAAAAGCATGCTCTTTGTCTTCTGCCCCCGCCCCCCCTGGCCCCCAGAATAGCTGAGTGCTGCCCAGTCTGTTAAGGTAATTAGTGATTAGATTACACATACCCGGATGTACTGGAACTCCTCTACTGGAGATTCAGATAACGATAGCAGAGAGCTGCTGGTTAAACTGTTGCATGGATTATATTTCTTTGTGACGAGAAGTAGTTTGTTCCGAATAGCGACAACAATCCTCAGTTCACTGCCATGGTGAGTATTAATGGCATACAAATGGCAGCCTGAGGAAATAATGTTCTTGTAAGTGTCTGGGGTAGGGTCTGCTTTTTTTGTTCTGTATTTGTATGATGATTAGTACAATGGGGCTCTGATGCATGACTTAGCAACACATAATTACAAACCTCCCAAGAGGACAACATTAACTTCTAGAAAAAGACAAAAGGCTATGACTCTTTTGAAAACTATTTTTCCCCTTACTCCTTTGCAAGTAAAGACTAAATACACGTATTTTCACTGTTCTGCAGGTTCCAGCTTTCCAAAGCAGCTTGCTTCTGAAGACCAGAAAATGCTTATGTCTACTAAAATAATTGGGAATGCCCAAACTAATCTAAGCACTACTATTTAACAGAGATTTGCCAGTGTTCCTCCACCTTAAAATGCCCTTTATTTCAGTCTCACATCCCTGCAAAATTCTTCTCATACCCCGCAATCCTGAAAGCAATATATCTATTTTTCTCTAGAGCTTTTAATCAGTAGTGATTGCCAAGTAACATGGTATTTTCACAAAGTTCTAAAATGTCGTTCTTGACTATAACAGACTTATTTTCACATATAAGCTTAACAAACTTTGAATTGACTGTCCAGAGAAAAAACTAAAGGTGAATACCTACAACTGCCTCAAGGGAGCTAATAAGCCCCTGGTAACTACAGGCATCATCCCACAGTGGATGTTTTAACGCAGGATAATAAAATCACCTTTTGTTCTCTCCAGTTTATTTTCTCGGCAGTCGTATTTGCTTCTTATCATTTGCTTTGTTTCTATATCTTTTTGGACAGCACTGAGTCTGAAGACAAGGAGACGAGAGTCCTTCCCTGAAGGATGAAAAGAGCCAAGAAACAAGAATTTTAAAAAGAGATGGTGGTAGTTTGAAATTAATACTTCCAAAGAGAAGCAGCACCTAACAAACAGAGCAAAGATACATAAAGCATACTGCTTCTCTGGGGATGAGCCACAGCGTCATACAAGACTGCTTATGAACTCTCTAGGCTTTACAATTCTAGCAACCAACCCCTTCAGTTCAGTAGCTGAGCTTCCCATCAGGTGGTGCTGCAGCAAAGAATGATATAAGAGCTTGAAAACAGTGAAAGGTACACTATTTAGCAAATATACAAAATTTCGCAAGATAGCGAAAATATAATAGAATAAACTACAGGGCAAGAGTAAAAGGGTTAACTTAAAAGCTTGAACTATCCAGCTGAGCAGCTGACAACTGGATCCTTAACAGAGTTTGAAACCCTTCAGGATGCAGACTGATTTTTGCTTATCAGTTCTTCAAAGGTAGGCAAGTTAGGTTCAAGGCATATTCCAACTGCAAAAATAATACAGTATCTACTTCCATGGCTAAATCGTTTGCCACAAAGATAGATATGAGTGGAATTTACAACCCCTAAATTTAAAACAAATACATAAATGATGCACTACTACTTGCGGTTGGCAAATAAGCGACTTAAGAGTAGTTTCTTAGATAAGAAACCAAGTTTCTTAAAATGCAAGCAAGGCAAGATTTTCTGACAAAGGTGGACTCTTTTACTAGACTAGCTGGTATGGCTGGAAAAACTAAGCATGCTTTCTTAATATATAGTTGGTGTGGATCCCACCATAAAGGCAAAAGCAAAATCATGGGTGCTGCCTTCAATTCTGAGAGTACAGCAACATGAACCAGGACATCCAGCCCTTGCACAACCTTTTCCCATAGCAAGTGTAAAAGAAGAGAAGATGCAATGCTTCCTTAAGTCTGCCACAGTTTGAAACATTGAGTAAATCTGACTCAGAGAGCAAATTCTTACTGTCAACACTGACAAAAGGAAAATAAAATATATACAATCCCTCTCTTTTCAAGAATGTGTGCACACAAGAATCTGCGCTTCCATGAACGAGTTCATGGAAGAAGAATGGCAAGCAACATTCACACCCTTTTGGAGGGAAGGCCAAAAAGCATGAGCTAAGTCAAATTTTCAAGGACAGTATTACTGCTCTCATCAATTCAGTCTCTCTTTGGACTTACTCCTGCCTTTGGTGTTCAGTTAGTTATTCCAAACATAACAACCTGAAGAATCCGGCATCAGAATCCAGCAAATTCCTCAAACAAGCAAAGATCGTAAATACAGTTTTCTGTGGTGGGGACAAATCTTATTAGTCAGACAAACATCAAGGCATAGAAAACACACATCTTATGTTTGCAATGTCAAACAAGTTGCCAAAAGATAAACTATGCTGTAGATTTACAGCGAATCAACTAGTCCATGCTTCAAGCCCTGGTAATACTAGGATGTTCTTTTCTAAAGTCTTTTTCCCTTTGATGAGTAAGGCTGCCTATAAGATGTTTCCCACTCTATCCGAGAATCTCCCTGGCTTCTCTGAAACCATCCTTGCCCATGGCACTTGACCAGCTAACATCTTCCATGCTAGATGCACTAATTTTGGGCCTGGCTAGTGATGATCATCTGATAGTGACAGGGCAAAATCTGAGCTAGATAGCAGAAGAGGCAACTGAATGGGCCTCTGTAGCAATCTGTAATCCAAAATTTTCTCAGTAAACGAGAGTAACTTCTGATAGCATCCCACAGGACTAGGGAAATCAACACAAAACCATACAGGAGGCTCTGATTTCACTTCAGAAAAGGCATAAGGCAGAGTCAGTATTAGAAATACGACTTGGTGAACATTGTATGATGAGAATTTTCTGTTAACTGAGTACTAGCCCTGTCATCAACCTTTGCAATAACTGCTTATGATTGCTTATGATTATGCGATAAACACTCAGAAAGTCTCACAGTTTGTTGCCAATTCTTGGAAAGTGGAAATTATAATCCCGTGCCCAAAACTGGACAGCTGTGGTTGCTGCCTAGCAGCTAATTGATCATTTTTGTTAATCTAAAGTCTTTCACAAGTTTGTGGCATCTTTATTTAGGAAAGGAATCAAGAGTGGTTCTCAAATTCATGGAACATTTTGATGCTGTGAAATGAGAAATGTAATCAAGGACTTGCATGTTCACCCACTGTTTTACAACTACTGCACAATTCTTGGTGCTGCATATGAGTGTTTTCAAACACCATTACATACATAAAAACCTACACATGACCAAACACCTTAAATGCTCTTCCATTTCTACCAACTTTGATTTTAAGTTAAAGCAGCTATTGACACAACCTGAAGGAAGGCCATCTTTCCTGATCTAGAATCAGTGTATTTCTTATGACTACCATCACTTGCACTGAGATCAGAGATGGTTTTTAGTGCAGCCATTCAAGACTGACAAAAGTTTATTCTGAATCTAGTACCATTTTCTCCCAGATTCTGCCTCTGATTAAGCAGCTGCTCCTCCAGTGATAACTGCAGTGTTCAGTCTTCGTACCTGAGCTACTATTTCAGCTCAATATTTTACAAACATTCTTGGTGATGCAGACAATTCCGAAACACTACAACTGTGTACCCACAGCAAAACTCAAGAACTTTTTCTGGCCAACCTGAATGTCTGCATTCTTCAAATCAAGAAATGGTTGTAAACAGGCAACGTAGGTGGGAGCAAGTATTACCACCTAAATTAAGCGCTGTTATTTTTGGAGGTTATGCCAAATTTCAGAAGACCTTTTATGCTTCCATCAAACATGCCATATTTACATCTGTGAAGATGTTATGTGCGTGCAGCAAAGAATAACACATATGATAACTTCTTTCCCAGGCAGGCATTTCACTATGAAGGCAGAACAATGACCACTGCCTTCACTGAAATCGGTTTGATATGCTTTTAAAAAGGAATTGGGGTTTTAATCCCCATGGTCCATGAGATGTGTACCCCACAGCTGACAGTAAGCCTGCCTTTCAGCAGACATAAATCTTCACCTTTCCTTGTTGTTTAAAATAGCTCTGGTTCTTTGACCGGTGTGTCCTCTAGGATGCATCACTCTTTCACAATACTAGTTCTTTTGCAGATGTTCCAAACAACCCCACTGTAGTGTTAGATTTATCTGGGGCTGCCTATAAAAGTGACCATCATCCAAACTTTTTCAGTTTTTCTTAACCTCCTACAGACTTGATTCTTCCAAGCGAAGCAGCTCTTCCTCATCCCCCCTCACCCTCGTGTCTAGGCATTTCACAAAATTAAGCTGGAACAAAACAAAAACAAAACAAAAATGTGTGTGGAGGACAAAACAGATCCATTTCTGTGCCTTGCCTCTCATTACTAAGACAAATTTAACCATCAGATGTCCCAAACAATCCCACTGCAGTGTTAGATTTAATTGCATCTGCATTAGAACCGAGGCCATTGTTACCAAAGCAATTTGTGCTGCCGTCATTGATACCTGCTGTATTGGTGCCTTCTTCAACGCCTCCTCTTGGAATGTTGATGTGAATAAGCTCTTTCTGATAGTTAAGCTTATAAAGTTAACCTTGTAGCATATAACATTTTACCCTCAAAACCCACAAAGCCTTTGAACCCAGTTTATGAGCCCAGTATGAGCACGCTTTTGCTCATCTAACTCATTATTTCTCTCATTTTTGCTGCTGAGGTGTAGTCTGAAAATGAAAGGCAAGTATGATTTTTCTTCCATCCCAGATCTTAATTTCAATATGGTATGCAAATACAAAATAGGAGGCCAGAATTCTAGCAAGTATGAAAGAACTTTCTCCTAAATGCTTCAGAAAGTATCCATATCAAGAGTTAGAAATCTCTGCAATTTTTTACCTGAGTAAGACTTTATCAGACTATGTTTGAAGTGTCATGAATTGATGCTGGTAATACCTTGTTCTGTTACCTCAAAATGCTTGCTTATATCTCTCTCTTCAGGTTTAACAAAACAGTACAATGTTTTGACAATTAAATGTAATAATCTTTTCTAGAAGCTTCAGAAACTAAGCTTCAGATACAACCTCCCTTTTCAGATCTTCAGAAACGTCACCCACCCTCCAGGTGTCTTGAAAAAGAACTCCAAGTGGCTCTCAGGTAGTTTCAGACAGTTCTGTAAGGTCCCAGGGTGAATTTCATCAGGTGCAGCCAAATTGGGCAACTCCCAATGATACAAAAGGAACCATGTTCTACCCTAAGTTTGGGTAAATGTAACTTCAGCCAATACTGAGCAGACAGGCATAATGTGGTAAAAAACAATAAAACAATCATATTTATAATTCTTTTTTCTGTGTTACACATAAAGATCCTGTTCTTGCTTTGCTCACTTTATGAAATTCCATCACAGACTACTGGGTAAAAAGTACCTCATTGAAAAAGTGCACATTTTATGCACATTTAATGCTTCCAAATGAGGCTAAAAAGGAAACATTGTCAGTCCAAACAAGATTTATAGAAAATTATATTTTCTTTTATACCAGAACCTTCATGAAAATACATTCTATAGCTCTAGGATATGGTGACAGTTAACAGAATACATACCAATAAAACACATTTGGTAAAACAGTAACAGCATAAGTAATTTCCCCCACATTTTTGTGCAACTGAATAAACATATAATTCAGTCAAGGAGATTTCCAAAGAGTGTCAAATTCTAACAGTGGCTGAAGAAAGACCATATGACCAGTTTCAGACTTGCCTTGAAGGAAGCATGAATGAGCATTTAGGCATTTTAGAATGCCCAGCCTTTTAGAAAATAACAGCAGTTGCTGGATGTGCTCCCTTATTCTAAAATGAGGCATTTAATATACTTGCCACTGATAGGCACAATTGCCTCACAAGACATACATACCCAGCACTAGCCACATTCATATGGGAATCAAAGAACAGGGACCTCTCCTACCTTTGTCTGTTCGGGCAATCAAGAGATCCAGAGCTTCCAACACATGCATCTGCTTTATTTGGAGAGTTTTATCAAATACTTGCACTGACGGTTGACCATCTAAAAAAGAAACACACATATTTATTCAAAATCCTGCTAGTCACTGGTTTTGACCCATTTCTTTCTTGTAATAAAAGCCTCATTTTTTTCTTACAAAAATTAAAAAACCTGCACAAAGTTGCTATGTATACCACAGCATCATAGCCAATACTTCCTCATAGGAGAGTTTTATCATTGCCATGGATCAGATTACGCAACTGAAGCCTAAAAGGGACCTTCCTTTGGAAAGTTTGAGAATTATCACCGAGAACTAACTTCATTCCCTCAGTCCCACTGGCCTTATGTGGCACACAGAAGGTAAGGGGTCAAACTAGCAATATTGTTGTTATGGAAGAAGCAGGCTTTCATTGTCACATAAGCCTTTGGCTTCATGCTCATTATCATCAAGGGCTAAGAAATTCAGACAAGCCACTTAAACACTCCTTGAGCTTGGATGTGACTTCATAAGTCTTTTCAGATGGTCAAGAAAACAACATGTGAAATCTGCATTAAAACATTCAGAAATCTGCATTAACATTGGCTCCCCAATATGGCTTGATTCTGGTGCAGAAAGAATTTTTGCAACTAGGTTACATAAATGTAATAAATTCACTTGGATTGGTAACTATCCCTGTAGGTGAAGACCTACCAACACCTGAACAGAGCTTATGAACATACATTTTCAAGAAAATGGTCAGATACACAAAAATTGACACAAAAACACTGGATCATTTACTAACCATTTATTAACAAGATGCCAGCATCTGTAGAAACCAGCAAGGACTGGCCCCAAGAATCTGCACAGACAACCTCATGAGGAAAATTACTGCAGAAAGATTGAGATTCCCAAGGCTACGAAGTAACATAAGGGATACATATTAAGTACACTAAGAGAGATACAGATCATACAGACACAGAATGTGATGGACAATGCCAAGTAATAACATGTAAATGCTTTTGGCAGGATACATTTCCAAAGAATGTATTTTTTGAATTTGAAATATCAAAATTTAGTTAATTTTCTTGCAAAGAAAATACTCTCTGTATTAATTGGGTTTGGAGACTAATACGTGTAAGACACATTCCTGAAACACTGGAATTAAAACACATGCAGCAGATACACAGTGCAACCCTGGAAATACTCAATATGTAATTTATTTTAAAAAAACCAAACAAACCCACAACTATAGACTTAAAATGTATGTACCACCATGCATACGCAATTTGCTTACATTTTATGGCTCAGTTTGTGATGTTTAGTCACTAGCACGTGGTACAGTTAAAATTGCCTTTTTGCCAAACTGTTCTTTTGTTATGTGTTCTCTGTACTTACCTCCCAGAGTCTGCCCCTCCACCCCCAATTTAAATATTAGCTGAAGTCTGTGAAATTCTAGAAGCGCTTCTGAAGCTTCTGTATACAAGATGCATGCAGAAGAGCGTGGTTTGCATCTTTCACTCCCTAATGCCCTTGAACAAAATCTGGTACTACCGGAAATAAAAACACAACTGAATTTTGCTTTAAACTTGAAGCAGAAGTTAAAATAAAAGATGATTGTGTATGGATAATGGCATTTTCATCAAATGTTCTCAGATACAAAAATATCCACACTTGCTTTAACTTGAGAAGTGCTTCACCCTCCAGGGTCATCCTTTGTTAATTTTATATGGGCTACAGAATCACTTCGACACTATGCATTTCATCTTTGCTGCTACAGCATCTAATTACAAAAGTAAATAAACGGTATGCAGAACTAATACACAATGCCATACTCGACAGCATTTAATTTTTTCATAACTCTCCTCAGACTGACGGGTTCACTCACCTCCTTTTTACAAAAGCTTGTGGTTGCCAAGTTAGTTGTGACATCCCCTTTCACAGTGGTTTTCAATTTCAATGCCTAATAAAATTGAATTTTTGTCAGCAATATCCAAGCTAAAGACTATAAAGAAAGGACAATTTAGGACTACAAAGTAACTCCAGTTTGGAATTCCTATCACAATTTAAGTAATTAGGAAAGAAGCAGAATTCTGTATATCCTGAACAAAGTCTGCATGAATCACTAGAGAGCTGCTAGATACCTTCTCAGCCAAAACATATGTTGGTTGGGTTTATTTGTTTTGTTTGTTTGTTTTTTAAATGGAAACTCAAAATCAGAAAAGAAGTGTCAAAAATAATAACAGAGAAAAGCTTCCACCTCAAATCATACAAGCTAGTCATCTACACAATTCATTCTATAAGCTACCTGGATAGAGGATCCTTTTATCAATTACACAAGTTGGCCTTTCACTTGCATAAAAAACCTTCGTAACAAACCACTAAGCCAAACTATATATATACATTGCCAGGGGTGCCAAGGACACACAGTCACAGTATCACAAATTCTTCAACTAGAAGCGAGCTGATTCTGAAAGGGCTAAGAACTCTAGAGATACACTGTATAAACATAGTTTCAGTGAGATACACAGTAAGTCTATTTAAAGTATCCTATATACCTTCATTGCTAACTTTTACAGCAGTGTTCCTATAAAGTGATGACACATGGAATTGTCACAGCATTCTTTAATGCAAAGTTTAGAAATTACGTAAACCGATTTTACTGCCCTAAAGATTGCCTACCATCATGCACGGTCTCCGTGAAGTGGCAGTAATCAGCTGCATGAACCATTTGCACATTTGCATTAAGCATGGCTGCCAGCTTACAGAGACGCACAAAATACTTCATTGCATCAACATTTTAACTTCATCCCACCAGTCAGTAGAGATCACCTTCACAATAAAGAAATGATTTAAATATACTGCTGAGCCAGTCATGAGTGAGTTTTGTTTACCGTTTAAAAACTCAACTGACTATAACTAAGGGATAGACACATTCACAGAATTTGGGAAGAATGATTAAGAGCTACTTGGAAGGCATGTTGAAATGTGTTCAAGCCTACAGTTTGTAACTTAGAGGAAAGTTCTTTTAGGGAAGGGAAAGATTTAAATGTGAAAAGAACCTCCAAGAAAAACACAAACAAACAGGTATCTATGAATTTTTAACCCACATATTAGGTTTCCCTTCAATGAAGACCATGTCAGGGATGGAAGTCTTGTTTAAGAAATGGATCCCAAGTAGATTTGTTATGTATCTTATCAGCATTTAACTTGGGGGAGGTGGAGGGGATCAAGCTTATAGGTTTCTATACTTTCAATAACCATGTTTTTCTTTAACTTCTGTAAAGTAGTTAGTAAACTTCAGGAATAAATCATTGGTTACTTCTGTCTTAATATTACAAACACATGCACTTTTTCTTTTTTTTTTCCTCTCCCCCTCTCCCCTCACCCCCCCGCC